ACAAATGGAAATCTACTCAAAAGAAAATATTTTCTAAGTATAATGTTTGTGGGAAATTCTTCAATTCTAGATTTGACCTTATTGAGTATCTCATAAGATATTCTGGAGAGGATTCAAATGAATATAATGACTATATGAAAGCCTTCAAGCATACACCACCCATGAATTACCATCTGATAAAAGGTAGTGGGGAAAAATCCTAGGAAGAGAATCAGGGTCAGAAGGTTTTCCCTGGAATCTATTGTTCATTTGAGGATTTTTACTAGAGAGAAAGCTTAGGGCCATAATGCATGTGGCCACCTGTCCTTTCCTTCTCATGGCAGGATTCACACAGGGAAAAAATCTCATCAATGTCTTAACTGTGGGAAATGCTTGAGGGAAGTAGAGAGTTTACAGAGCATCAGAAAATTCACACTGGAAAGAAACCCTCTGGATATCATGGAGGTGGAAAGGAAAATTGAGGGCATTCTAGTTGTAATGCATGTGGAAAGGTGTTTTGGGGGGAAAAAAAGAGGTCTTGCCTGAACATAAAAGAATTCATACTGGAGAGAGAGAGAGACCTTATGAATGTCAAGAATGTGAGGCGACTTTCAGATTGAAGTCAGTTTTATCTCATCATGTGAAAATTCACACTGGAGAAGAACCTTTTAAATGTAGTGAATGTGGGAAGTCCTTTTATTTCAGGGATAAACTTCCTGGACATCAGAGAATTCATATGAGAGAGAGAGCACATAAGTGTCATCAGTGTGGGAAAGCCTCCTGTATGAAATCCTCTCTTACTCCACATCAGAGAAGGAATTCATTTTGCATAGAAAACTTCAGAATGACCTCTTACAACCAGACAGATTGAGGACTAGACATTTTCTCTGATCCTCATAACCTCTCAAACGTCTCCAAAATAGCAGTTAGGTGAAGGAGAAAAAGCTGTTTGCATTATTTCCATGATGTAGGACACCTTGGGTGAACATTTATGTGTCATGAGTTTAGGAAGGCTATCCCCCAGAGTGAAGAACTTACATTCCACATTCTATGTGTTTTCCAGTATCTCAGGACAATCAGTGTGTACATTATACTTTCGGTTTTGTTTATTTTCCTCTGCATCAGCTGAAGAACTATATTGGTTTCTTTGTAGGAAAGAGTTCAAATCACAATATTGCACTATACATTTAAAGAATCATATTAGGTTCCTAGGCACTGGACCTGGGCAGTGTATCACCTTGCCAATCTAGAAAGAATTTGATTGTCAATTTGTGGACAATGGTGACTACTTTGTGGTGTTCCCCATTTAAGTATGGTAAAATAAAGGCTTTTCTCATATAATGTTGGGAGCTTGAACAGGTGTTGAAATCCTTTCATCACATATGAGAAGACATATTTGAATTCCAGTCTAAAATTATTAGCAGAAACAGGGTGGTGATAAAATGAAAACCAGTAGATCTCCTTAAGATAGAAAGTGGTCTCTCTAAAATCCAGAGCTTGGGGGTTTTGCTGGTCTATGTGTCTTGAAGGTGAGAAAGCCTTCCATTAGATTATACAACTTATTGGAGATGAGACAGTTCACAGTTTAGACTAGTCCCAGTGGGCCATCTTTGTTTTATTGTATTTTTGTATTTTTATTTGTTTTGTTAATCATTTCCCAATTCATCCAGTCCTTGCTTTAAGATAGCCAGTGATGGGGAAAACCAATTGCCTTCCATCACAGCCCCTCCATTTTACTTTTGGCTAACCATTAGGAAGAGTTCCGCACCCACTCCTCCCCCCATCAATCCTAAATTTGACTCTTGAAATTTCTACCCATTGCTTATTTTCCCCTATTCTATTCTGCCAAGCAGAAAGAACTTAATTCTTGCCTTTACAGCTCTGTAACTAATTGAAGACAAAGATTTTTCCCAATTGACCATCATTCCCTTTATCCTAGATCCATTCATTTGTTTATGTGAAAGTTTTTTATCTCCTGTGATCAGAAGTAGCCATCCTGTCTTCTTAATTGCCTTTCTCCCTTATTTGGCTGCTCACCCCCTAACCATGACTGTGATAGGTGGATAATCTACTGAGTTTTTATGAGAAGTCTTTAATAATCAGGTCACATCCCCATTCGGAATTCCTTTGGAGGTTTGATGTATAAGATCTTTGTCTAAAGCTAATTTTGTCCAGACTTTTTTCCAGTTTTCCCAGCAGTTCCGGCTTTTCTATTGTAATTTGTGTTTTCAGGTTTCTCAGACACTGAATTATTAAGTTCACTTAATGACCGTGTCTAGTCAGTGCATTTGGTCTTTCCATTTAAAACCAGTACCAAATGTTAGTGATAGTTGCTGGTTTATAGTATCGTTTATGGTCTGGAAGAGCTATTGTCTCTTTGTTGCTATTCAGTTGTTTTGGTCCTTTCTGACTCACTGTGACCCCATTTGAGGTTTTCCTGGTGAAGTACTGGAGTGGTTTGCCATTTCCTTCTCCAGCTCATTTCCCAGATGAGGAGACTGAAGTAAACAGGGTGATGTGACTTGCCCAGGGCCACACAGCTAGCGAGTGTCTGAGGCTGGATTTGAACTCGTGAAGATGGGTCTTCCTGATTGCAGGGCTAGTGCTCTGTCCACTGCACCACCTAGCTGCCTATTGCCCCTTATTTCCTGCCTTTTTTTTTTTCATTGTTTCCTTAGATATTTTAGATCTTTTGTCTCTAGAAAAGAGGTTTTAAAGTTTTTTTTATTGTTTTATCTGCCTTTGAAAAGTATTTCTTTGGTTGTTTGGTATAAAACTAAGCTGGTAAACTTCTGTTCCTCCTGTTGGCCCAGCCATCTAAGGGGAAAACCTTTGGCACCCCTACCTTCCTCTCAGACCCAAACCTGGCTCTCAGAGTTCTGCTTAGTTCATGTAGTGGATCCAGAGTACAGGAGTGATATGAACCAAAGATGCATTTATGTGCAGGCCTTTCAAACTCCCTTGGACCAAATTTAGGGAAATCACTCAAAGAAGTGAGTGAGAATTCTGAATACTTTAGAAGAACCAGATTTGGGGGGAAATTATAAAAATTAGTTTTCATTTCTAATGTTTAATTTGCATGCCAGTATTATAATGACTCTTCTACTTTTGAGGGACGTATGCATGTTGTAATATTTTTTCACATAGAGCAGATGAGGGAAATGTTGGGGGTATGTTTTAGTGGTGATTTTGAGAAAGGACCTCATACTATCTTTGTGAAAAAGGTAGAGAGATGTGGTCTAGATGGTCCAAATACAATTATGGGGGTGGGCTCAAAGAGTAGACTTGAGTGGAATCGCTGCAGGGATCTGGACTTGTCCCAGAGCCCAGGAACATTTATAAAACTTTGGAGAGTTCACCAAATTTACAGGTATTACCAAGCTTGGAGGGAAAACTAACACACTGGATAATATTGACGTGTGAGAACATTGGGCTGCAATGAATAAGGTAAAATTCCATAGGGAAAATATAAAGTCTTTTACTTGGATCCAGAAAATCAAAGATGTAATGGGGAGGCCTGGTTAGACAGCAACTGTTGCGGAAAAAGATCTGGGGATTTCAGTGCATCTTATGCTCAGCTCTGGGGGGGCCAGCAGTGCAGGCCCCCAAAGCTAATACTCCCCATCTGCCCCGTGCCCTCCAAACTCCTGGGCATTGCCAACAGCTGAGTCTCCTCCACCCAGTAGAATGTAAGCTCACTGAGGGCAGGGACTGACTTTCTTTTGCCTGGTATTTGAATCCCCCCCAGCTCTCAGCCCCCTGTCTGGCATATATTCAGTGCTTAATAAATGCTTGTTGACAGAATGACTGACTAAGCAACAATCCACCAGCTTCAGAGTTGTGAGAGAAACCAAATGCCTCTTGATTCCTGAATACTTTAGTATGATCTTCAAGGAGGAGACTGTATTCTGTTGAGATACCCTGGGCTACAAGGGGCTGACCTGTGGAAGGTTACCTTTGTGTGGAAAGTTGCTGAGAGCCCGGAAGCTTGCCTTTTTACAAAATGGCCCCAAATCACGGAGGGAGCCCTGTCAGGACTATTCCCTCCCCAAACCACCTGTAGCCCACAGGAGAGTGGGTTGGATTTTCTAAGGAGGAGGCACAGAGAAATGCTGGGATTCATTGGATACTGACGACAACTTTACAAGTGTAGGTGCTATGATAGTGCCCATTTTGCAGAGGAGCAAACTGAGTCTGACAAGAGGACAAGTGACTTGCCCAGGGTCTCACAGCTCAGTAAGGATCTGAGGTCTTCCTGATTCCAATGGCAGCCTGAGTCTCTCCCCTTGGGCCACTTGGCTGCCTAAGACAGGGTAGGCTGAACTGTCCCTTCTTGGGGGGGGGGGGGAGATATTCAGAAACCAGCGTAACATTACAACGAAAGATCTCTATTTTAAAAAGGAGAGATCTCGGCCACCCTGGAAGGAGCCCTTTCGGTCCGGCTGAGACAGGCGCTAATCGAGGCCAGGTGTAGCTGACATCTGGTCCCCAGCCTCTGCCCCGCTCCCCCTCCCCCCTCGGGCCCTGCAGACCCGACAGGTGGCCGCCTTTCATCCTGCACTGCCGAGACAATGTAGGGAATTCCAGGGCGGGGGAGCCTGGCCAGCTGCGGGTCCAGACTGTGGACAGCTGCCTGCTGGGGCAGGGTGGGGATGGTGCAGAGCACGGGGACCGGAGCGGGGACACGGGGTCCTCCTGGTGAGGAAGAAGAGGTTTGGGAGGTGGTCAGAGGCAGGCAGGGCAGTGTAAGGGACCGGGGGGGGGGCAGTTTGGGGGAGGGAGAGCTCGAATGTCTGGACAGCGCCAGAGATGATGGACCAGGTGGAGTGGGGGTGGAGCCCCTGGGTTGAGGTTCCTGGCCCAGGATGTCCAGGTGTGATGGGAGCCATTCCCGTGTCCACTGAAGTCTAGAAGTCTGAGGGCAGGGCTTAGGGCTAGGAGGAAGGCAGTGGGGCCCGAGGTCCTCCCCCTGGATGGGTGGGGCCAAGTGGAGGGTCAGGGCCTGGGACTGCTGCCTCGGTTCTTGGCCGGACTCTGGACTTAGGTCAATGGAAGCAGGGCCTCCACACCTGGAGGCCGGTCCAGTGTCCAAGGGGCCTCCCTCTAGTCCCGCTGAGAGGACGGCTTTGGCGGAAAGGGCCAATCCGGAAACCTGAGGGCGGGGTCCTTGGGACCACCTAGGGCCCGCCCCAAACGTGCCTGGCCCACTGTGTCCCCTGCTTCCTCTTCCCCTACCAGCCAGTCCGGTCTTTACATGCTCAGCCCTGGACACCTCCTCCTGGAAGCCCCCTGGGCGGGCTGTCGGAGCGATCGCGGACTGAGTGCTTTATAGGAAGCCAGGGCTGGGCAAGGTGGCCGGGGCTGAGCCGGGACCCCGCCCCTAGCTCGGGCCTCAGACCCATCCCTCTTCTGCTGTCCTTTCCTGCAGCTTCCGCCCGTGCTCTGACCTCGTGGTGAGTCTCCCCCAGGGCAGCCGGGAGCACCCCTCCCTAGGCTGGATGCTGATCGCGATACGCCGTCGGGACCCAGACATCCTGCTTCTTGTCCTGGCCCCCCAACCTCAGCTTCCCCGTTCAGCCCCGGGGCAGGGGCATCCTTGGCCCAGCGGGACCCCGCTTCGCTGCCCCAGCTTCCGCTTAGGGACAGGGGTTGCTGCCTTCCACTGGTGCTTCCCGGTCTGCTCTGGGGCCTTCCGAACCCTGGACAAGCTCCCCGTCAGACTCCAGGCTTCTTGGTCCCTGTCTCTTGCTCCTGTCTCACTTCTGGACCCAGGCGTCCTTCTCTCCCCTCCCCCATTTAAGAGATCAGTGTTTTCTTCCCAAAATCCCAGGTCCTCTGCAGGACCCAAGCATCTTTCTGATTGTCCAGACGCCCCATCCTCGTCTTTCCCACAGGGTTCCAGAGCAGGGGCATCTTTGGCCTGGGATACCCCCACTAGGACTCATCTCCCCTTCAGGGACAAGAGTACAGCCTTCCCTTATCTGAGCTGGGTCCTTTGGAGTCCTTAACAAGTTCTCCGTCAGACCCTAGGCATCTTGACCCTCTGTCTCTTGACTCCCCTCTGTACTTCAGGACCCAGGTGTTGTCCCTCCCATCCCCCCACTTAAGAGATCAAGGTTTCCTTCCTTCCCAAACCTCAGGTCTTCTGTAGGACCCAGGGTCCCTCCTCCAGGCTCCAGTCTCTGTCGTGGCTCCCTGGTACCCCTGATCCTACTTCTCATCCCTTGACCCTGAGGTCTTATCCTCATAGGAACCAGGCTCTGTCTCCCACCCCAGAGCCCCAATATCTCCAGCTCCCCTGTAAGGACACAAAACTCCTGAGTCCATGATCTGAGCTCATCCACAGCGACTCAGGTGGCCTCACCTTCAAATAAGGGGATCCTCCCACCCAACCTTTTTTACCCTATCCCACCTCCCACATCTCTGTTACACAGTGTGCACAACCGCCCACTTTGTTCTACCTCCCAGACCTTCCCTCTGCTCCCCTTTTCTGGGTCTCTTGCTCCCCTGGCAACGAGTTTATATACTTTCTCCTTTTCCTGGGTACTCCCTGGTCCGAGTTTCTCTCCCAGCCTTCTCTTTTATTTTGGACCCTCTCCTAATCTTGGTTCTCCCCAGCCACCATTTCTGCTGCAGACCTAGTAGTCTGAACTCCTCCCTCCCCACCTCCAGTTCTGTCTCCTCACCCCAGACTTCCCCTTGTCTTCCAAGTATCCTCTCCATTCCCATGGATCCATCCATGGCTCCTTAGCCTCCTTCCTCCTCAGATCAAGCAGTCAAGTGCCTAGAGAGGGGTAAGGAACAGAAGGCAGTAGAGAGATGTCTGATTCAATCAGATTCAATGAAAGCCTGTTTGGTCTAGGAATCCCAGAACCTTCCAGTGTCTTGCCCAAAGGGAGAATGGCTGGGCTGGGGGAGGATGCCACACATTGTTTCTGTTCAGACCTTGTAAGTTTCCAAGCCTGACCCTAATGGCTTCTTCTTTTTGGTTGACTCAGTGCCTTGAGGGCAGGCTCTTACCTTTTTGGGACTTGGTCTTTTGTAGGACCCAGTGGGGATGGCCACAAAGATAAGATTATTTGGCCTCTGTGATGTTTCTACCTCTCCAGCTCAGGCTGCAGAAGATTCAGGCCTGACCCAGGAGGAAAGCAGGAAGCCAGCAGCAATGGCCTCCAGCACACAGAAGACCTCAGCCCAGTTTAAGTGCAGTCAGGTCACAAAGTTGGCATGCATCAGCAAACATGAACATTTCCAAAAACACAGAACAGCAAAAGAGAATTGAATGTGAAACCCTTAATCTCTCTGACATATAAATCTTGGTGGTTTCTTTATGCAATCCCCCAACCCCCCACCCAACACACATGTGTATTTCCTTTGCCGTGTGGAAACTACTTATAGTACAAAACTAACCAACCAACAAAAAACTTCACACATTAGTCTTGTCTGAATGAACCAGAGCGAAAGCCTTTCCCAACTGTTTTCTTTTACAGTGTTGCAGAAGTAACTGTTGGAGTTGTCCTGGTGGTTCTACTCACTTCATTCTGTGTCTGTTCAGACAAGCTCCCTCTGAATCCCTCCCATTTCCCATTTGTTTCCAGTTCTCTGTTACAACCAAAAGGGCTCCTGAGAATATTTTGGTACATATAGGACCTTTGCCTCTGTCTTTGAGCTCTTTGAGTCAGAAAGCTTTTGTTCAGCCCCTCTGAAGTTGGATTGAGTTTCAGAATCATAGCATCTCAGAAGTAGCAGGCAGCTCAGCAGTCCACACTTCAATCAGTGACCAAAGAAAAAATCCTTTCACTACTGGTGGCCCCTACTCTCATATCATGCCCCAAACCCCTTTCTGGCCTCAGAGTGGGAGGAATCAACAGCCCAGATGCCAAATACCAACTCTTCACTGTCCCTATTCTAAATTTCTTCAGTAAATTTTTTCCTCCTTTGGGTCACTGGCTCACTGTCTCCCTCTCCAACTGAACAGTTGCCAGCCTTTTAGGAGAATTCAGTCTGTATCCTGATGTTCCTTCAAATACCCTAACTTCCCAGTTCCTCAGTGTCTTCAGCTCTCAGGTCCCTTTATCACTCTACCTCAGCTAAGCACGGGAATGCTTATCCCTTTGATCTGGCCATTTCTGGAGAATTTTCTCTCTACTTAGAAGCATAACCATCATTTGGGGTTCAGTGTTTGCGGGTCAATGATAAGCAGCCAGATTGACAGCAATGACATTTTAAAGTGTGCTGAGGAAGATTGTTCCAGCTGATAGCAATTTTAGCTTTCTAGGGGACAGATTTGATTTTTATGACTTTTTAGGCTTGCCTAGAGTACACAGCAAATCGGCAACTTTCTGTGGCATCTTAGTATAGATAAGAAATCTCTTTCACGGGAGATGGAGAGGTAGGGAAGGGGGAATAAGCCAAGGGAAAAGAGGGGTTGATGGGGAATATTTACCAAGTAACTGGCAGAGTTTGTTATCTGAACGAAAAGTCATTTCCTTTTCAAGGGCAGGAGAGGAGGACGAGAAATCAAATGGTTCTCCAATTATAAAAGTAGAACTTTTAGACAATCCATCCAATCCAATCCAATAAACATTTATTAAGCACCTGCTGGTGCCGGGCACTGCTAAATTAATAAAAAGAATTAATTTATAAAATTAATAAATTAATAAAAAGACAGCCCCTGCCTTTGAGGAGCTTACAGGTGGAGATAACACACAAAAGGAGGCAGGAAAAGCTGTCTGGGGTGGGGGAATAGACCACCAGGGGGTGCTGAACCAGTGGCATCTGCAGAAAGGAATAAGATGAGCCCAGTTTTTGCCCTCTGTCAAGGACGGCAGTGGGAGGAATTTGGAACTCCACCCCAGTCAGAGGGGAGAAGAGGCTAAGGGAGGTGGTATCAATTAAAGCAGGAGTAAATTGCATGAGTGATGAGCTTAATTTGGGAGGGGCATCACCAGTGGAGATGCAGGGTTAACAGAACTATCCAGACCAGACTTCAACTAGTGGTTTGACAATTTTACAGTGTCTTTAGATAGTTTGTTATATTTTATTCTTCCTTCAATAATAGTTGGTCTATTTCCAGTATTAGACCCCTAGCTTGTTGAGGGATTTCTTAAGTGATAGTACATGAAGATGTTGAGAAATGATTGTACTTCCCATTTGCCCCATACCCTTCCATGATCAAGACCTCTCAGATTCCTTCGTCTGCTATATCTATTACTATCAGATGTCTCCCTGTGCCTTTCTACTCCTAAACCTATTCTCCATTCACTTTAACCCCTCTACTCACCCCTGATTGGTTATATGCCACCCCAGTCTTGACACTTTAGTAAATTGTTGTTCAGTCACGTCCAACTCTTTGTGACCCCATTTGTGTTGTTTGTTTTTGTTTTGTTTTTTGGCAAAGATGCTGGAATGGTTTGCCATTTCCTTCTCCAGCTCGTTTTACAGATGAGGAAGCTGAGTCAACAAGGTGAAATGACCTGCCCAAGGTCACACAGCTGGTATATGATTTAAACTCGTCTTCCTAACTCCAGGCCCAGCTGTCTATGCACTGTACCAACTAGCTACGTTCATCCCCCGATTGGTTATCTTCACTGTCATCCCAGTCTTTACACTTTAGTGAACTAGTTCAACTGTATACTATCCTCTACTCTCTGATTCCTCGTTCTCTTGTCCTCCCACCAATCAGTCCTGTAAAAGATCAGCCTTAGAGTACTCCCCTCACCTGCCTCCTTTGAAACTACTCCCATGCTCCTGAATGGAGCTAGAGAAGTCACCAGACTCTGCTGCCTGGATCCACCCTAAGGAAATGTCATCTCATCTTACCTCAAGGGGGCCTTCCCCTCCCTTTAGCTAGAGACACACTTCTTTCTCTCTCCCTAAACTTGACCCTCTATCCCACTCAGCACTGGGGCTCTTCCCAACCTTCTTTTCTCTTCAGATTTCCCATGGCAGCCCATTCTGTCACCATCTCAGATGAGGACCTTGACTCATATTAGACCAAACAAAAATAGGCCATTTGCCCTCAGTTCTCTCTTTCTTTCTCCTTATTTCCCATCTCCTTGATGTCATCTCCAGTGAACTTTTGCTTCACTCCAGTCTCTGAGAAATTGGCAGCCCTCACCCTTGATAAGACCCATCTTTATGTGCCTTTGATCCCATCCATTCCTGTTTTCACTAGGTTGCTCTCATCATTCTCTGTCTCTCTGTCTCTCTCTCCCTCCCTCTCTGTCTGTCTGTCTCTCTCTCCCTTTCCCCCTCTCCTCATTGAAATCTCTCTTGATTGCTAACTTTCATTTCCTTTTTTTTCTTTCACATCACTGCTGTATTTTTATTTTACATTTTCTGTGAAGCTCTGATCTTTTCATCCATAATGCTTAGAAATCCCCATATTTCATTAAAGATCCATTTTCCCCACCTATTTGATTATATTCAGTTTTTGTGGCAGAGTCATCATTGGTTATAAACCTGTATCTTTTGCCTTCTGGAATATTGCATTCCAAGCTCTCTGCTCCTTCATGGTGGTGGCTGTTGTCATATGTGATCCTTTTTGTAACTCTTTGTTGCTTTAATTCCTTCTTTCTGACTTCTAGCAGTATTTTTTTTTTGGCCTGGAATCTTAGATTTTGGCAATAATGTTCTTGGGAATTTTCATTTGGGGATTTCTTTCATGAGGTCACTGGTGGATTCTATTTCCATTTCATTCTCTTCTTCTAATATATCTGGACACTTTTATGATTTCTTAAAATGTGATGCTTAGACACCTTTGGGGGAGTCATTGCTTTCAAGTTTTCTGTTGATTATTTTTCATATATTTAATCTTGATCTGTTTTCCAGGTTAGTTGATTAAAGATTCCTTATTTTTTCTTCTATTTTTCAGCCTTCGGCCTTTAATATTTCTTGTCTCATGAAGTCATTAACTTCCTTTTGGTTCATTCAAGTTTTCATAGATTCAGTGGCTTGGGTGAGGTTTCATATTTCTTGTGACAAGCTATTAAATATGTTTCCAATTCTTGCTCACACGTGTCTCATTTCTTTTCCCTCCTGAATGTCCTTCTGATTTTATGGACTCTGACACTGTGTCTCAGCTGCAGTTTCACCTGAGAACTTCTCTCGGTTCCTGGGACTTCCTCACCTTGGAACATCCCTCTGCCATGCTGGCCCACTTCTCCCACTGGTAAATTCCCCCAAAATGTCCGGGTGGGAAGAAGAGAAGAGAGTGACTAGTGCAGGTGAGATGGCCTGGAGAGAACTGAGGAGATAAGAGATTGAATGGAGGTCACAGTGAGGATGAAAAATAAGGTTTTATGTAGGAAGGCAGAGGAAGAGAGGGAAATAGAGAAGGGAATTTCCAAGTTCTTTAACGTGGAGGGGCTGCGTTTATGGGAGCTGATAACATCGAGGGTTTACTCTGCAACCTTCTTTATTGAAGTTAATGATTTTCTCACCTGATTTCTCTGTTGATTCCCAACAGTCAACCACAATGTCAACAGCCAATAGAGAGAAGCGAATGAGACGTTCATCTGGAACTGGGGTGGGTCTCTTTTTTTAAAGCAGTTCTTCTACAGGTAGTCCAATTTCCTTTGCTTGTGATTATATTTTATATATTGTCAGGCATCTATTGGGTGTTGGGTTGAATTGGGTGATTTCTTTGTGTTAGGCAATTCCGTGGAAGCTCCCTCTCCTGCAGGTGAGCACCTTCTCTGAACCTTATGGGCATTTCCTAAAGTACTGAGAGACTGAGTGACCTGTCTAGTGTCACAGGAAGGCCTTGAATGCAGGTTTTCCATCTTTCAAGACTAGCTCTCTATCGCCTACACCAAGTGGCCTTTGCAGTTCTGGACACATAATCACATCAATACTATCTCTGCTACTGGACACTGGAGAGAGCACATCAGGCTTTGCCTGGTGGCTCTGCTCACCATCTCTGTAACATTGCAAACCAAAATCTCTCTCCCTGGTCACACTTCCCTCCCCTTATTAGAATGTAAGCTCCATAAGGGCAAGGACTGTTTTCAGTTTTGTGCTTGTGCTAGAGAAGCTAGGGGGTGCACTGGAGAGAGTGATGAACCTGGTGTCAGGAAGACCTGAGTTCAAATGCAGTCTTAGACTTGGCATAACTGCATGATCCTGCACAAATCACTTTAACCCCTGTCTGCCTCAGTTTCCTTATTTGTAAAAATGGGATAATAATATAACCTATCTCTTAGGATTATAATCAGAATAAAACAATATTTGTAGAGGGTTTTACAAAGCTTGAAGCACTGTATGGTATGAATGTTATTGTAATTAACATCATTATTGTTCTTCCATTTGCACAACTCAGCATGTACTGCCTAACAAGTGATTTTTCATCCCTTTATAAGTGATACAAAAGATCTTTGGAAACCCCAAAGCTCAGTGTAAATTCAGCCTTGCTGCCTGGCTCAGCTGTAGGGATAGAGGCTACACTGAAGGATTCAGTACTTGTGGACTGGCAGTGTCCAGTGGGACTTTGGGAGTAAAGGGGAAGTCCTCCATTGGTGCTACCATAGTCAGCGTGATTCAGTTACTCTGAAATTGAGCATTGGAAAGAAAATGGCAAGGACTCTGTTTGACACCCAATGGAAATAACAGCTGATTCATCCTGGAGCGGGCCTGCCATATTACTTCTCATTGGACATTAATCATTGGAACGTTATGCTCCTCTAAGGGGTGGGCACAAATGGATTTGTTGTCATAGGAATCAGTGACATTCAAGGATGTGGCCGTGGACTTCACCCCAGAGGAGTGGGGATGCCTGGGCCCTTCTGAGAAGAAGCTGTACAGGGATGTGATGCTGGAGAATTATGGGCACCTGGTCCATCTGGGTGAGAACAACTTCCCTGGGCGGGGCAGATTCTACCTGTTGGATGGACTTTCTTTAGGCAATGTCCTGACAGCCCAGTAGTTATTGTTTGTCCAACGGAGATCTCAGACTGCTAGTCCTTTGGCATCTAAGAGACAGAGAATGCTTGTGTTCTTAGCTCCTGCGTGAAGGACCTTTCGCCAATTCTACCACCAGGCACTGTCCTAGGGGATAGAGACCCAAAGACAAAACAAGACCATTCCTGCATGGAGCTTATGTTTTATGGGAGGTTTTTGCTTTACAAAAATGAAAACTGACCCCCAATTGACCCTGTATCTTTTCCGCTCTGTTCCCATAGGTCTAAGATTGGCCCCAAAATTTCAAGTGCTGATACCCAAAGATCTGACATGATTCCATTCTTACATACTACAATGGGTCCCATCTAGTAAATGGATTTTTTTAATGAGTCCAAATCCAGTCTAAGACAAAATTTCCCATGATTGCTAAGAACAGAATACAAAGCATCATTGAGGGGCCATTTGTCCTCTGATTTATGGACGTGCCTAGCTCCCACTTCTCCCTGAAAAGAGAGGTACTAAGATTGAAAGCTGAGCTGACTCTTTGCCCATCTCTTTGCACTTTCCTATGAGCAGGACTCGCTGTCTCCAAGCCAGATGTGATCTGCCACTTGGAGAGAGGGAGCCGTCCTTGGAAGCCAGTGATTAAAGTCCCAAGGAACAGCTTTCCAGGTGAGTGAGTGTCCATCCAGCCATTAGGTGGTCTAGTCAACCTATTGTGTCGTCTCAGTGGCGACAAATCCGCAGTTTGAATCCTGGCACTTAGTAGCTGTGGGACCCAGCCCCCAACACTGAGCTTCTCTGAGACTCCATCAGTCAGTTAATAAACATTTATTCAATACCTGCTCTGTGCCAGGAACACTTACATTTTCTTTTTCATTTTCTTTTATTTTTGGTTCCAAATTCTATCCTTTTCTACACCACTTCCCTCATCCATTGAGAAGGCAAGAACTATGACATCCATTACACATATGAAGTCATGTAAGACATTTCTGCATTAGTCATTTTGTAGAGGGGAAAAAAAGCCAAAAAAATACAGAAGAAGAAAAAAATGTTTCTATCTGGTGTCTAAGTCCATCGATTCTCTCTCTGGAGGTAGATAGCACTTTATAGCCTGAGTCCTTCGGAATTGTTATGGAATTGTTGTTGATTAGAGTAGTTAAGTCTTTCACAGTTGATTGGTTTTACAGTATTGCTGCATAAATATTACAATATTACTGTGTGAATTGTTCTCCTGGTTCTGCTCACTTCATTTTGCATCAGTTCTTACAAGTCTTCTCGTGTGTTTTCTGAAACCATTCCCTTGGTCATTTCTTACAGCACAATTGCATTCCATCACAATCATATACCACAACTTGTTTAGCCACTCCTCAACTGATGAATAGCCCTCAGTTTCCAAATCTTTGCCACCACAGAAGATTGCTTATATTTTTGTAGATATAGGTCCTTTTCCTTTTTCTTTAATTTCTTTGCTGTATAGACCTAGTAGTGGTATTGCTGATTCAAAGGGTGTGCAGAGTTTTATAGTTCTTTAGGCATACTTCCAAATTGTTCTCCAGAATGGCAGGACTAGTTCACAGCTCCAACAATAGTGTGTTTAGTGTCCTTATTTTCCCACCTCCCCTTCAGCATTTGTCATCTTAACCAATCTGATGGGTGTGAGGTGGTATCTCGAGTTGTTTAATTTGTATTTCTCTTCTTCGTGATTTAGAATAGTTTTTCATGTGACTATTAATGACTTTGATTTCTTTCTCTGAAAACTGCCTGTTCTTATCCTTTGATTCTTTATCAATTGGGGAATGGCTCTTATTCCTGTAAATTTGGCTCAGTTTATTATATATTTTAAAAATGAGACCTTTCTCAGAGAAACTTAATGCAACAATTTTCCAGTATCCTGCTTTTCTTCTAATTACAGCTGTACTGCTGCTGCTGTGTATATACGTGTGTGTGTGTGTGTGTGTGTGTGTGTGTGTGTATAAAAATTTTAATTTTATGTGATCAAAATTATCCATTATACCCTCTGTGAACCGCTCTATCTCTTGTTTGGTCATGAATAGATCTGACAGGCAATTTCTTTCATGTTCTTCTAATTTGCTTATGATAGTACCCTTTATATCTAAATCATGTACCCATTTTGAGCTTTTCTTGGTATATAGTGTGAGATTTTGATTTATGTCTAGTTTTTGCCAGAATACTTTCCAGTCTTTTTTATTCTTTCTTTCTTTCTTTCTTTCTTTCTTTCTTTCTTTCTTTCTTTC